AAAAGACCCTGATGTTGGGAAAGATGGAGGGCACAAGGAGAAGGGGATGACAGAGGACGAGATGGTTGGAAAGTGTTCTCGAAGCTACAAACATGAGTCTGACCAAACTGCAAGAGACAGTGGAAGACAGAAGTGCCTGGCGTGCTCTGGTCCATGGGGTCACGAAGAGTCGGACACGACTAAACAACTAAACAACAACATTTGGAATGGAGAGACCTGCTCCTATGCAAAACCAGTCTGGCAGGTATCTGTTAAGCAGAGCAGACATGTCAATAGAGCATCTTCTTCTGAGACAAGCCATACTCTCACATTTCTGTTGTAGAACACCGCTTTCTGTGATACATTTATGATGCTTCCTTGGGTGGTCCTTGGCTAAGGGACCAGGCAATTTCTAAAACCTTTAGAAGTTCTTGCACATCTTTGTCCTGGGTCCTCACCTCCTATCAAAGCTGTTAGGGGAACTTCTGTTGCAACAGAATAATAAAGATATGCCTTGCTTTCACAGGATCTTGACTCAGCTCATTTTTCTCTGACCTATCACAAACTTGAGGGGCTCTGAGTCCTTTAATGGTGAGTCGGGCTGTTAAAGACACTCCCTTCCTTTCTGGTCACACCGACCTGCAGATTTATTTTCTGTATTAGGACTCTGATTCTTAAAATAAAATATCCTTCTATTACCTATTTCTGGTGCCTTCCTGTATAGTCTTAACAGCTGGCAAACTACTCACCAGTCTAGAATTTGTAGAACAGCTAGAAGGAGCTGTTTGCAGTTAGACATCTCTGTTTGATTATCCTCACACTATCAGAGGGATGACCCTAAATTAAAATTCTTCACAATGACGACAACAAGACCTTGCCCACCCAAACCCTAAATTGGGCTACTTGGTTGAGAAAAATTGAGGGGGACTAGGAGAAGAATTTCATTCGACAATAGCTACTGGCAATTGAAGAAATGTTTCCCCTTCCAATATTGGAGAGAGGATGCTCTGAGTACCAGTTGTTGGGGAACATATTTAGAGAAAGTGCTGCTGCACTGATCTCCAGCTTATGGGCTTCTGTTTGGGGCAGGTGGTTGCCCATTTTGAGAACGGGATACTGGACTTTATAGGCCTTAGGCCTGATTCAGCTTCGAGGCTCTTCTGATGTCAATCATACACCACTTTCTTCCTCTTTGAACCATGTCAGTTTCTTGAGTCAACATGTTTTTCTCCTGTTCTTCACCTGCTCCCATAAAGTTTCAGAAGAGATGTTTCTTCCCCTTACAATCATCAGAACAACAGTGATCTATTCTTATCCTTGCCATAATCAAATAATCTTCAAATGTTACCTTTGGGAACAACAATGCAAACATCACAATTAAGGGCAGAAGGAGGTTATTTACTCCACTGTGCTTGAAAAGTTTGGTGTATAAAGTATATTGTTTGATGTATAAAATATCTTGCATGTCACAGAATCCATGCAGTCAAGATATAGGGCAGGTGAAAGGGTGCAGGAGATAGCTCCTTGTGGAGCTTAATCAAAACATAGGAAGCTGCCTTCTAGCTCAGTGCTATCTTCTGGCTGGCAGCAGCTCTCCAGGTCAAAAACATCCTCAGTCCTACCTGGAGTAGTTAGCAGAGGTGGACCCTGGCACCTTCTGGGTCAGGTATGTCCAAAGTCCGTTTCAGGGCCTGATCTGGCCAGCTGGTTAGTTTAATCTGGCTCCTGTGGCAGTTTATCTCCTGTTTATCCTAAAACAAAGTTCAACAAACTCAATCCTAAAAAAAGGTCAACCACAAAGGTCGGCCCTTTGGTCGGCCCTCCACTTCATCAAATCTGGCCCTCTTTGAAAAAAGTTTGGACACCACTGTTCTGGTTGCAAAAAAAGATGCTCCACCACAGAAGCTATGACCCTTCACCTCATTCCCCTTTTGGCTTTGATGCCAGAGCTGAACAACCCCATATTTGTGAAGTCAGTGAAGCCTCTGTCTTGCAAGAATTTGGGTGTTTCCCCCCCTAATTAGTGGCTTGTGCTGAGAGGAATAGTCAGAAGGGAAGTGTAGTAGGCCGACCACAGAAATGCAGCAGAGGGCAAAATGTCCACTGAATTTGATTGAGGATAAAAATCCATAGCTGTTAATGTTTCCCCTTTTTAAAGGGAAATTCCCTTATTCTGAACAGGATTCCTCGCAAGAAAAGGGGAAAGTTGACAGCTATGTAAACATCTGGCTGTGAATTATCACCAGCAAGGAGATCACCTCATTAGTGGAGTCATATCTTCAAGATTAATTGGAAGTCAACTTCCCTTTAGTTTTGGAAGGGGCCGCGAGGGTCATCGTATTCATCCCCCTGAAATGCAGGAACGACATCTTAATAATCCCTGACAGATGGTCATTAAGACATTAAGACTGCACCTGGGACTTCCTTCTGCGTGCAAAGCATTGCATCTGAGGCCTTCTGCATGCGAAGCAACTGCTCTGCCACTGAGCTTCGCTCCCTCAAAGCAAAGCCTAACTTTGTCCAATGGCCCCCACTTTTTGAAAAAAGGTACGCATTGTAAAGACACCGGACCACCCCATACCCACTGGCATTTCTCCGAATAGAGACGTCCTATTCAACAGTAGGGTTTCCATATGTCTGGAATTTCTCAGACATTGAAATTGAAATACTTTATTGTCACTTGTACAACTTGTATACAGTGAGATTACACGAGCACCCCCCCCCCCCACTCAGCTCTCTTAGTCTTAATTCCCCTTGTTTATTGACGCACACCCACCAAACCCAAAAGTCAGTTGCCCTGTTGTTATCTTTTCATTCAGCAGCCTAACAGCCCACAGATAGAAGCTGTTCTTTACCCTGTTGGTGCGACTAATCATGCTTCTATATCTTCTGCCTGAGGCCAGGAGATCAAGAAAGTGCTGGCCAGGGTGTGAATCATCCGAGAATTTTCCTCACTCTCCTGAGGCAACATTCTTCCGCTATTTCATCCAACAAATTCACGGGACAGCCCATAATATCTTGTGCTGTATTCACCACCCTCTGTAGGCACTTCCTATCAGTTGAAGTCAAACCAGCGTACCACACCGTGATGCAGTATGAAAGGACACTTTCTATTGTGGATCAGTAGAAGGATGTTGATTGATATACCCAGGATACTGTAGTTGGAAGAAGTGGCTGGGTGAAAATCGGCAAAATGTCCCATGTCGGCAGTGCCATTTTTGCTGATTTTGCTAAAAGCTCAAAAACTGCATTATTATTATTTTTGTTGCAAAATAAGTTCAAAAATTTTGGGCTAAACTAAAGAAAAAGCTGGACTGCTTTTGTGTCTGGATCTTCACTTTTTGAAATATGGCCACCTAATCATCATCATCTTCCAACATATATAAGGTAAAAGGTAAAGGTACCCCTGCCCGTACGGGCCAGTCTTGACAGACTCTAGGGTTGTGCGCTCATCTCACTCAAGAGGCCGAGGGCCAGCGCTGTCCGGAGACACTTCCGGGTCACGTGGCCAGCGTGACAAGCTGCATCTGGCAAGCCAGCGCAGCACACGGAAACGCTGTTTACCTTCCCGCCAGTAAGCGGTCCCTATTTATCTACTTGTACCCGGGGGTGCTTTCGAACTGCTAGGTTGGCAGGCGCTGGGACCGAGCAGCGGGAGCGCACCCCACCGCGGGGATTCGAACTGCCGACCTTTCGATCGGCAAGCCCTAGGCACTGAGGCATTTTACCCACAGCGCCACCCGCGTCCCTTCCAACATACAGTGGTGCCCCGCAAGACGAACGCCTCGCAAGACGGAAAACCCGCTAGACGAAAGGGTTTTCCGTTTTGGAGGCGCTTCGCAAAATGAATTTCCCTATGGGCTTCCTTCGCAAGACGAAAGCCCATAGGGAAATCTCCGGGACAGCGGGGAAGCGCAGCGCGTCTTCCCCACGGTCCTCGGACCTCCTCCGAAGGCTGGCGGCGGGGCGGAGAGACCTCCTCCCGCCGCCAGCCTTCGTTTCTCCGCTATCCCGGACGGCTTTTGAAGGCAGGCGGGGGGGAGTAAAGACTTTCGCCCCCCGCCGGCCTTCAGAAGAGGTCCAGGACCTCTTCTGAAGGCCGGCGGGGGGCAAAAGTCTTTGCTCCCCCCTGCCTGCCTTCCCGGGGGCTTTTAAATCGCCCTGGGACAGCGGAGAAGTCCTCCGCTGTCCCGGGGGTTTTTTAAATGCTGGCGGGCGGCAGCGGAGGCTTCGCTGCCGCCCGCCAGCATTTTAAAATCGCCCCGGGCAGCGGAGAAGTCTCCGCTGTCCCGGGTTTTTTTAAAATGCTGGGGGTGGGAAGAAAAGCCCTTGTCCCCCCCCCCCCAGCCTTCAGAAGAGGTTGGGGGACAGATTGTCCCCGGACCTGGTCTGAAGGCGGTTTCCATAGGAACACATTGATTGATTTTAAATGCATTCTATGGGAAACCGTGCTTCGCAAGAAGAAAAACTCGCAAGAAGAAAAAACTTGCGGAACGAATTAATTTCGTCTTGCGAGGCACCACTGTATATAGAAACATAATAAAGCATTAAACAGCTTTGCTATACAGGGCTGCCTTTCAGATGTTGCTTATCTCCTTGGTTCAGGGGTCGCATTTCTCCCTCCAAAATTTATCCACTGGATATAGGGACATCCTATGGAAAATAGGACGTTGCGGGATTAAATCAGAAACCAGGATGGCTTCTGTAAATCCAGGAGTGTCTGGGCACCCTTTAATATTATTGTCAGTTGCTGCTCTGAACCCCTCCCACCCTCTTTCCCCCGGGATGGGGGCTTTTCAGAAGGAAGGTGTGTGTTTCCTCTTTCGCTGCCGGGGATTGAACCCGTGACCGTCTCACCAAATAAATGGCAATATAGACCTTCTCTGCCACTCTAGGAAAACAGGTCTTCCCCGGAATTGGGGAGGACATTTCTGTTTGCAGGGAGGGGGAGGCGGATCTCCTGCCCCTCCCCCTCCCTCTGGGTCAATGAGCTCCGCTTCCTAGAGAGGCAGGAAGCTATTTTTCTGTGGGGGGGAGAAGCAATTTGGAGGGGAGGGGTCTCCATCCTCATTCCCGGAAGAGAAGCGGACTTGGAGAAGAGGAGAAAGAGGTGCCCCATATTGGGGGGTTATTTGGGGAGAGGGGTGGGAGAAGGATTTGCTTTCCCTCTCCCTGAATCTACAAACAGGGCGACTGGGAAAGGAGGCGGGAGGATTGGGGGGGGGGTGCAAAGAAAGCAGGGAGGGGCTCCGCCCTTTCCATGTGAGAATCGGGGGGGGGGGCGGAATGCAGGGCCTCCTGTTGCAAAGTGGGGTCCCCCTCCCCCAACAGGGTTTGCATTGCAAGATCTTCTCTGAAGCGCAGAGATCAAGCCAGGCTCCCATGGTGGAGGGGGAGGGGGGCGAAGACACTTGAGACGATCCACAAAAGGCGCCCCCCCCAGTGCAACTTAACTACAAAGGGATTTGCAGCCCCACCCTGTGCATGTTGACTCAGAAGTCAGTCTTCCTCCGTTCAAAGGGGGGGGCAGCCCCATTCCACCTAGTGATTCCCCTCTCTGCTTAACACCCTCCATCTCCCTTCTCACTGCTGCCCCCCCCCATCGCTCCCCCCTGGCTCTGCCTCCTGCGTCAGGGAGCCGGTCTGTGCGGGAGGGGGGCTTTGCTCCTCCAGGACCCTGATCTGCTCCCCCCTCCGAAATCTGCTGCTGAAGCCCCTGCCTCAGTGGGTCGGAGATCGGGAGGGCAAGCAGGGGAGAGGAAGTGGAAGCAGCTGGAGAACAGAGTCGCCTCTGGATTGGGGGAGAGGGAGGAGATTTTGAGTTGGGTGGGGGGTGAGAGATGGACAGTGTCAAGGGAAATCGGCCTCCGGGGCTTCCTGAGTAAGAAAGAGGCTGATGTGAGAAGGAAGGGGGAGCCCCCCCCCATGCTCCCCTTTCAGAAATCCTAGTCGGGCCAGCTGCTTTGGCACAAAGGAAAGAGCCATGTTGGGGGTGCAGTTGGGGAGGGTTTGCTGTGCTGCTTTTGTGCCCCAAAACCGAAGGGAAGAGGCACATTTTTCATTTCCTGAAGCATGAAAAAGCACCTTGTCAGTTTTCCTCCTCCTTAGCAAGTGAAATGGGTCCATGGATGACAGCATTTGAAACTAATCCAGGTCTCGGGAGCCATTTAAAAAGCTTCAAGTCCAGCTGGAGGAATTAAAGAAATGCCCCCTCCCCAGCTGGACTTAGGGAAAAGGGGGAGGGGGAAAAACTGATTACCACCACCCCCAGCAGATTTTGAGGCTCTTTCTTTCTGGGACTTTTTCTGCCGTTTCTGGCAGCCTCACTCCTGCCTGGCCTTGTCCCCATCCAGGTTGCAGGAGGGTCTTCTAACACTATAGGTCTTCTAAAGCCCACCACCTGGGCAATGCTCACACAAGAAACCTGCAAGGTGGGCCAGGATGACAGCCAGTTTAGTGTTTGGAACAAGGGTGGAGTCCATTCTCCAGCCTGAGGGCCACATTCGCTCCTGAGCAACCTTCTAGGGGCCACTTTCCATTGATGGTCAGGGCCAGAGGACAGAGTTGGTGGAGCTATGGAGGTGACTGAGCTTTGTCCAGGGAATGCCGGCCTTCCAGGGATTTTTTCAAGCCACACAAAAGCCGCCCAGGAAGCAGCTGGGAAGCGTTGGAAAGAGGGTGTGGCACTGGGGAAATTCCTGAGGGCCAGAGAGAAAGAGGGGGGACTTAAGGGCCAATTTAGCCCCAGGGTCGGAGGTTCCACACCCTGCAATTCAGGTGCTGGGCTTAGACCAGGGAGACCCAGTCTCACATCCCCATGCTCAGGGAGGATGCCCCTGATTATTTCTCCTCCTGTCCTTCCTCACAGTGTAGGGAAGATAAAAGGGTACACACACACACACACACACACACAGGTTCCTAAGAGGAAGGACTAGGGGGCCATAAGCCACTAAACTTTGTATTTCTGTCTCCTAAACTACAATCCATGTTAGCGCATAGAGTGCTCTAAATATTTCCATCTGCTCCCCTTGGAGGGAGCTTCTGCACCCTGGTTTGTTGGTTTTCTTCCAACTGCAGATTTAGGAGTTTCTCTTATTTTCTTTACAGTATTCTAAACGTATCAAAGGGTCAGAAACTGGTTTCCTAGATGGTTGTTTGGAGGAAAAGAAAAGCGAGGTCTGCAGAGGTACTGACCGTAATGCTTTCTGTGTAGCTTCATTAAGAGTTTGGGATTTGATCCTAGAACTTTACAATCCGAAGCTGAAGGTTCCCTAAAGACTGGGACAGCTTACAGTATTATAAAGTTCCTGTAGAAAGGATTACATCCTTCCAGTTCCCCACCTTGCACTTCCTGCAACGAACACACAGGAGATCTGGTCCCTGGTTTAATTCCTTTAGAATATATATATATATATATATATGCTTTCGTAGATTTTCACGGGTACAGGAATGCAGGTTTTGGTGTCCTCGGGTGTCTTCCCGTGTAAAAGTTGGGGTGTCTAGGCGACGTTTCGACGAGGTCTCACTCGTCATCTTCAGGCTGGTGCTTTCGGCTTCTTGTTACTGGAACAGAGCAGGATCTCAGTGTTTGAGTTCCTATAAATACTGTTGAGGGGGTGTGGTGTATAGCCTCCAATGTTCTGGGCAGAGAGGAAGTTCCCAGGCTAGTGTGCCTTTTCTTCTTTTGTTCCTTAATTACTTGAGGGATATCTTGAGTGATTTCTTGAGTGATATCCTGAGTACCACTTAGGTGGGTCATTAGGTGTGGATTAGTTGCTAAAGCCTTCGTGTCTTGACCTCTTGAACTTTGTGAAGAGTTTTTCTGAGAAGATGGCTGTATTGCATTTAGTTGTGCTCTGGCTTGGCTTCGTGTATAGGGGCGAGCTGTGGTTTTGTGTCCTGTGCCAGCCAGATCTGTGTAGGGATTGCAGGGGGGTGCAGCATCCGGAGGTGCCACCATGGTTTGGCTACTGGATGGTGTCTGTAATTTATCTGTGGAGAGGGTCTGGGTTTGGGTCTGGTGTGGTTGATTGGTGATGGCGTTGTGTGTGCCTCTGGATCTGGTATCGGTTTTTGTGGGGAGGGCTAATTTCCAGATGTCTGGCAGGCGGGATGTGTCGTCACGCTTGTTCATGTTGTGAGGGTGTTTCTCTATCTCGATGGCTTCCATGATTATTCTCTTGTGGTGATGTTCCATGTTAGAGAGCAATTTGGAATCTGCAAAATTAATTTCGTGTCCTGTACATGAAAGAAACAGGACACGAAATTAATTTTGCAGATTCCAAATTGCTCTCTAACATGGAACATCACCACAAGAGAATAATCATGGAAGCCATCGAGATAGAGAAACACCCTCACAACATGAACAAGCGTGACGACACATCCCGCCTGCCAGACATCTGGAAATTAGCCCTCCCCACAAAAACCGATACCAGATCCAGAGGCACACACAACGCCATCACCAATCAACCACACCAGACCCAAACCCAGACCCTCTCCACAGATAAATTACAGACACCATCCAGTAGCCAAACCATGGTGGCACCTCCGGATGCTGCACCCCCCTGCAATCCCTACACAGATCTGGCTGGCACAGGACACAAAACCACAGCTCGCCCCTATACACGAAGCCAAGCCAGAGCACAACTAAATGCAATACAGCCATCTTCTCAGAAAAACTCTTCACAAAGTTCAAGAGGTCAAGACACGAAGGCTTTAGCAACTAATCCACACCTAATGACCCACCTAAGTGGTACTCAGGATATCACTCAAGAAATCACTCAAGATATCCCTCAAGTAATTAAGGAACAAAAGAAGAAAAGGCACACTAGCCTGGGAACTCCCTCTCTGCCCAGAACATTGGAGGCTATACACCACACCCCCTCAACAGTATTTATAGGAACTCAAACACTGAGATCCTGCTCTGTTCCAGTAACAAGAAGCCGAAAGCACCAGCCTGAAGATGACGAGTGAGACCTCGTCGAAACGTCGCCTAGACACCCCAACTTTTACACGGGAAGACACCCGAGGACACCAAAACCTGCATATATATATATATATATATATATATATATATGGGTTTTGGTGTCCTCGGGTGTCTTCCCGTGTAAAAGTTGGGGTGTCTAGGCGACGTTTCGACGAGGTCTCACTCGTCATCTTCAGGCTGGTGCTTTCGGCTTCTTGTTACTGGAACAGAGCGGGATCTCAGTGTTTGAGTTCCTATAAATACTGTTGAGGAGGTGTGGTGTATAGCCTCCAATGTTCTGGGCAGAGAGGAAGTTCCCAGGCTAGTGTGCCTTTTCTTGCACAATCACACCACCACCCTGCACAAATAAACTCCGTAGCCAAGACTCTCATCTCCAGAACCAAACGCCTGGCTGACAAAGACCACTTGACAACTGAGTTACAGAATCTCTCAAATGTGTTAATCGCCAATGGATACCAGCAAAACAGGGTTACGAAGCTAATCCAAAAAGAAACACCCCCCAAAAACCAAGACACAGAAGAAAACAATGGCATGGCCCTCCTTCCTTATATCAAGGGCACTACAGATAAAATTAGCAAAATCCTCCATAAACACAATATCAAAACAGCCTTTTGCACCAACCAAAAAATAGCCAATATCCTCAGAAACCCCAAGGATAAAATCCAGTTGGAAAACCAAGGGGTCTATGAAATACCCTGCAAAGTCTGCCCAGCCACGTACATTGGACAAACAAACAGACGAATAAATGCACGTATCGCAGAACACAAGAATGCCGTCAAAAAAGAAGAAAAAACTTCCTCTCTTTTCCAACACATGAAAGAAACAAGACACGAAATTAATTTTGCAGATTCCAAATTGCTCTTTAACATGGAACACCACCACAAGAGAATAATCATGGAAGCCATCGAGATAGAGAAACACCCTCACAACATGAACAAGCGTGACGACACATCCCGCCTGCCAGACATCTGGAATTAGCCCTCCCCACAAAAACCGACACCAGATCCAGAGGCACACAGAACGCCATCACCAATCAACCACACCAGACCCAAACCCAGACCCTCTCCACAGATAAATTACAGACACCATCCAGTAGCCAAACCATGGTGGCACCTCCGGATGCTGCACCCCCTGCAATCCCTACACAGATCTGGCTGGCACAGGCCACAAAACCACAGCTCGCCCCTATACACGAAGCCAAGCCAGAGCACAACTAAGTGCAGTACAGCCATCTTCTCAGAAAAACTCTTCACAAAGTTCAAGAGGTCAAGACACGAAGGCTTTAGCAACTAATCCACACCTAATGACCCACCTAAGTGGTACTCAGGATATCACTCAAGAAATCACTCAAGATATCCCTCAAGTAATTAAGGAACAAAAGAAGAAAAGGCACACTAGCCTGGGAACTTCCTCTCTGCCCAGAACATTGGAGGCTATACACCACACCTCCTCAACAGTATTTATAGGAACTCAAACACTGAGATCCCGCTCTGTTCCAGTAACAAGAAGCCGAAAGCACCAGCCTGAAGATGACGAGTGAGACCTCGTCGAAACGTCGCCTAGACACCCCAACTTTTACACGGGAAGACACCCGAGGACACCAAAACCCGCATTCCTGTACCCGTGAAAATCTACGAAAGCATATATATATATATATATATAATAGTGTTTGTGTGTGTGTACACAGGGAGTACACACACACACACCCCATTAATATGCATGTCAACCGAACCTATTCTCCTGACCTTCAAGGTTTAATATATCTGCGTTTTCCAATATTATCCATTCTCTAAGCCAGCATAAGCGGGACGCCTCATAATATAATATAATCGAAAATCTGGCAGGGAAAAGCCGCCCCTATCTTTGGTATCCGTTAGTAATTTATATTTCATTGTGAATATTAATGCTATCTGTGTGTGTCCCACCCTAAATAAATCTGCCTTTCTGTAAACTGCCCTGAGAGCTCAGGGTAGAGGACAGTATATAGATAATAATAATAATAATAATAATAATAATAATAATAATAATAAATTTTTGCATTGTTATCCCTGCTTTGAAGTGTATCGTGGGAACAGCTGAGAGAGTCCCAGAAGTGGCCTGGTTTATGATTCCTCCTCCTCCTCCGTCTTTTCCACTGACAACGCAATGGCCTCCGAGACCCCCTCTGAATGGTCTCTTCTTAGATTTGGAGTGGAAAGAGGAGCCGGGCAGCTTCCTCAGGTAGGGAATGAGCAACGGGAGCAGGGAGGAGGGAAGAGACACAGATGGGACCACCCAGCTTCCCTCTGTGTTGAGTGGGGGATGATGGGGATCTAAGAGAAGCTCTGTTTTCTTCCTCTTCTTTTTCCAGGCCCTCTTGACCTTTGAGGAGGTGGCTGTGTTTTTCACGGAGGAGGAGTGGGCTCTGCTGGATCCAGGCCAAAGAGCTCTGCACAAGGAAGTCATGGAGGAGAATTATGAGATGGTGGCCTCTCTAGGTAAGGGCAGATTTTATTCCTCCTGGCTGTTAGACGTTGAAGGTGTGAAACTACTGTTTGAGCCATTTATTCATGCCGTGTCTTCCTCTTTGGCGAAGCCTCGTAACCAAATAAGATTGTCTTCCATAAACATGGTCTTAATGGTGTGTCCGTAAGGGACTGTAGAGTCTAATTCTGGATCCATACATCCTTCCAGAGTGGGGACATAGGTTTCCAGGCTGGAGTTAATTACAGTGAGGGTTTGCCAAACATGCTTTCCTCTTAGTTTGTTTGTCCCTTTCGTCCGGAGTTTGTGTTTCTTCAAAGTCCATTACACCTTTGGTAAAGGATATTTTCCAACTGGAGCACTCGCAGGCCAGTGTTTCCCGATTTTCTGTGCTTATACTGCATTTCTTTAGATTTGGCTTGAGAGCGTCTTTAAACCTCTTTCATTGTCCTCCGGTGTTTGTCTTTCCATTGTAAAATTGCGAATAGAGTAATTGCTTTGGAAGATGATAATCAGGCATCCAAACAACATGACCAGCCCACCGAAGATGATGTTGAAGTTTATAGCAACTCTGTACTTTTGTCAGTAGGCAACTGTTTATAAGCTGATATTGTGGTATGAACCCCCCCCCCCCGAAAAAACCCTATGTAAAATCTACAAAGAGAGTCACAGGCATGAGCCTTCCTGGTCTATGTTATTTATTAGCTTTTAATGGGCCACCAATGGGCCACATATGACATAAACAACATTTTTGCTTTACTTATTTCACATTTCTGCTTTACTTATTCCACATAGCAGAGACTCTGATACTCATGTCTGAGCTCATCTTCTCACTTGGAACAGAAAAATACAGGGATGTTGTCCTGGACCAATTGAGAGGTACATAGTTCCACTTTGCTGTGAGGCTGTACCTTTGTATGTCTCCTTTCAGTGTATAGGAATATAAAAAGATCCCTTTTGGATCAGAACGAGGGCCCATCTTTTCCAGCATCCTGATGCAGGTTTAGGTGATGTGAACAGTTTCCTGGAATGTATCAGCCAGATATTACAGATGAGGGAGGAAGGAGAAAACTGTATACAGAGGCATAGCATTTTCACAGGAGGGGAAAGATGGAGAAAGTGTGTACGTCCAGAGGTTGCTGCACTACAACTCCCATCAGCCCTTGTCATTGGACTTCTTTAGTTTGGGTTGATGGTACTTCGAGTCCCAACCACATCTGGAGGGCCATAGATGCCTTACCTCAGCATAGAAGATATCTCTTGGTGCTCAGTGTTACATGGGAGTTGAAGGTAGAACTGGATACTAAGGGTTCTGGAGATTATTTTCAGATTTCCTTTCCTTTCCCAAAAATTTGGTTCATAGGAGAGGGAGGAAGGCTGGAGGTGTTAAAATAAGAGAAAGTACTGATTAGTCTTGCTGTATCTTAAGTTCTCTTGTTGTTTTTTCTTGAATACTTAACAGTATCTCTCCCCCCCCCTTTAAACCAGGTGATGGAGAAGGCAATCAGAATTTTGAGGGGCCATCTGTAAAGTACTTCAGCATGAGCGAACACCTTAACACACAACTACAAACTAACGCAGGGGAGAAACCCTTTAAATTTATGGAGTGTGGGAAGAGTTTCATTGAGAGTGGAGCTCTTACAAGACATCAACGAACTCACACAGGGGAGAACCCATTTCAATGTATGGACTGTAGGAAGAGCTTCAGGGATATGGGAAACTTACAAGACATCAACGAAACTCACACAGGCGAGAAACCATTTAAATGTATGGAGTGTGGTAAGGGTTTCATTGGCAGTGGAGCTCTTAGAGTACATCAAACGAATTCACACCGGGGAGAAACCATATAAATGTTTTGGAGTGTGGAATGAGCTTCTATCATAGGGAATCCCTTAATATGCATCAGATAAATCACACAGGGGAGAAACCATTTAAATGTATGGAGTGTGGGAAGGTTTTCAGTCAAAGGGGAAACTTACTGTTCATCAACGGACTCACACAGGGGAGAGACCATTTCAATGTATGGAGTGTTTGAAAGGTTTCATTGACAGTGGAACTCTTACAAGACATCAACGAATTCACACCGGGGAGAAACCATATAAATGTGTAGAGGTGGGAATGAGCTTCCGTCATAGGGAAACGCTTAATGGGCATCAAAGAAATCACACAGGGGAGAAACCTTTTCAATGTTTGGAGTGTGGGAAGGTTTTCAGTCAAAGGAGAAAACTTACTGTACATCAACGGAATCACACAGGGGAGAAACCATTTCATTGTATGGAGTGCGGAATGAGCTTCAGTGAAAATGGAAGCCTTACCCAACATCAACGAACTCACACGGGGGAGAAACCATTTAAATGTATGGAATGTGGGAAGGGTTTCAGTCGGTGTTCACACCTTACTATACATCGAAGAACTCACACAGGGGAGAAACCATATAAATGTTTGGAGTGTGGGAAGGGTTTCAGTGAAGGGGGGAGACTCATTGTGCACCGACAAAGTCACACCGGGGAGAAACCATTTAAATGTATGGAGTGTGGGAATTGTTTCATTGAGAGAGGAGCTCTTACAAAACATCAACGAACTCACACAGGCGAGAAACCATTTAAATGTATAGAGTGTGGGAAGGGTTTCATTGAGAGAGGAGCTCTTACAAAACATCAACGAACTCACACAGGTGAGAAACCATTTAAATGTTTGGAATGTGGGAAGAGCTTCTGTCAGACTGGAGCTCTTGCAACACATCTACGAACTCACAAAGGCGAGAAACCATTTAAATGTATGGAGTGCGGAAAGAGTTTCAGTCAGAATGGAAACCTTACTATACATCAACGAACTCACACAGGCGAGAAACCATTTAAATGCTTGGAATGTGGGAAGAGCTTCAGTCAGATTGGAGCTCTTACAACACATCTACGAACTCACACAGGCGAGAAACCATTTAAATGTTTGGAATGTGGGAAGAGCTTCAGTCAGAATGGAGGTCTTGCAACACATCTACGAACTCACACAGGCGAGAAACCATTTAAATGTTTGGAATGTGGGAAGAGATTCAGTTGGAATAGAGTTCTTACAAGACATCAACGAACTCACACGGGAGAAACCATTTAAATCTTTGGAGTGTGGGGAGGGTTTCAGTCAAGGGCAAAACTTACTGTTTGAGGCTGAAAAGGCGTTTCCCATAAGCTCTGTATGAATAAAGTTTCTATGTTAGTATTAAGGGTGTTCTTTCAAAATAGTTGGTTTTGAGTTTCCCAGGGTATCAAACAACAGCATTGATGTAACATTTATATGTAACTAATTAACATTTATATGTAATGAATGACACAATATTAATACTAATGTTCAGATATATAGTTAATTTCTTAAAGAATATATGTGTTTTAGTGAAATGTCTTTATTCAATCATAGGAATAGTCAATCAGGGATTGTCTGTGAGGACCACAAGTGATCTCATGGTATAATTGATGATATATTTAGTATGCTTAATGGTATGAATGGAGGATATGAATGGAGAAGTGTCTGAAGTGAGTGGGATCAGATGGCACTATGACTCTGAAGACAAGATAAAGAAATGATTAAATGGAAGATGAAGAATTATTGAGTTAGCCAGTGGACCTGGCGAAAACAGGATGGACAAAAATAATTGGGCGAGAATATGACATAAGCAGGATGACAGCATGTCTGGGTGAAGTAGGGCAACCTGAAAACTAAAAATATGATGAATGAGTAGTGAATGAATGAGTCCTTATTGCTTATTACTTGTTAATCAATAAAGGGTGGTAATCTGAAGAGAATTGTGTCACTTTCTTGAAAACACTGTGATAAAGGTGAAAAGGGACTTAACTCTGTTTTTGTGACAACTGTACATCACACAGGAGAGAAACCATTTAGATGTATGGAGTGTGGAAAAAGCTTCAGTGAAATAGGGAAACTTACTGTACATCAATGGACTCACACAGGGGAGAAACCATATAAATGTTTGGAGTGTGGGAAGGGTTTCAGTCAAGGGGGAAAACTAACTACATCAACGGCCTCATGCGGGAGAAACCATATAAACCGAGTGTGGAGAGTGCTTCATTTGTAGGAAAATCATTGTGCACTGACAAAGTCACACCGGGAGAAACCATTTAAATGTAAGAATTGTGGGAAGCGCTTCACTGAGGGTAGAAAACTTACAAGACATCTACAAACTCATACAGGGGAGAAACCATTTAAATGTATGGATTGTGTGAAGGGATTCATTCAGAGTGGAACTCTTACAAGACATCAACAAACTCGCATGGGTGAGAAACCATTTAAATGAATGGAGTGTGGGAAGTGCTTCAATTATAACGGAGTTATTAATAAACACCTATGGGCTCTCACAGGGAAGAACCCATTTAGTTTTATGGAGTGTGCCAAGTTCACTTTGTCCCTCATATCAACAAACTCGTATATGGAAAAATCCATTGTAAATGCATGGAGTGTGTTTGATGTTCTGGTGTTTGTGTGAAAGGTTGTACATATATGTATTAAAGCAATGAAGGTAATGTCTCCTAATAGCAAGTATAACGAAAGAGATAATGTACCATTAGTTGTTTGTAGAACATAACTCTAGAGGGGTCATTTTGAGTGAACATGTGCTGAGAGTCACTTGATATCTGATCTTTGGGCAGAGAGAGTTGGGAATGGAGAGTTGTGAAAAGTGGAGCACGCAGGATTGGCTCTGGAATCATAGAAGTGTGGAGCTGAAAAGGGACTCCAGGGTCTTCTAGTCCAATTCCCTGTTATAAGAACAGCAGCACAAAACCCATTTTTCTAATTGCAATAAAGGGAACAATGAAAACACAGAAATACTGGAAGTAATCTTCAAAGCACCCTATGTTGTTTATATTTTATGGCGGCACTCGTGG